TATTTTTTAAAAAAAAAAAATATATATATTTTAAAAGGAGTCGATACTTTGTATATATAAGATATAAATATTTAAAAAAAGTATATATATATTTAAATTTCATTGTATCATAAGCTCATTAGAGCACATACATTGCATGACATACAAGTATTTATTATTTAATTTAAACATAATTTATATATATATTACCATCATATATTTTACTGTATATTTAAGATATTTTATATAATAAACATAAAAAGTAATAATCTCTAAAACTAAATATTAACCATAAACATATACTCTAAAGGTGAGAATAGCGTACTAATAATATATATTAGCTTTTTTTTCTTTTTATTTGAAATAAATTGTTAACAACAATGAAGGAAAAAGTACGTGGTTCTAATAATTCCCTGTGCAATTATTTCCGAAAGTGTCACATCGTAAGTATGATTGCTATCATTTGTGTGACATTTCTGGTAAAAGGAAAAGATGAAATATTTGAAATTTTCACCTATTTTTTATGCTGCTATATGTTTTTTTGATAATATCATTTTCCCCTTATTTACTTATATTAATCTATCTTTTTATGAGAAATCATTTTATTTTCTGTTTTACACATTTAAAAATTTTTGTAGAATGTTCCAAATTATGCTTCTACTTCGGTTATCAAAGCTTCGTCGAATAACAAAATTTCGAGATGTTTGGGTAATTTCGATGAAATACTAAATGAACGCCCTTCCGAAGATATTTCTACTCCTGGAAATTCTTCTGGTGTATATTTCAAATTAGATGATAATAACCAAGGGGGAGAAATGAAACATTTTTTTAATGTTGAAGGACAATTAACAGATATGATTGACTCTTCTGAGGAATTACACCAAAATGATCATTCACCCGAGGTGATAGAAGAAGCATACGATTCAAATGAGGAATCAAAAGAAAATATGGATAACTATTATAATTTTAAAGAACCAACTGAAACTTTAGAAGAATCAGAAATGGATGTGTCAACTCGTGATTTTATGGACCCAACCTTAGACATTCAAAACAATTTTTATCATACCAAAAAGTATGGTGAAGATCCCACTATATTAAGTGAAAACGAGAAGGAAAAATTGAAAGAATATATTTCCTCATTGCGTATGAAATGTTCTGACCTCAGAAATGAATTAAGCGAAGATGAAGTAAATGAACTTATTTTTCATGTGCATGATAATTCATCTGTTGACGAATTAAGTAATTTATTGTGGCAACTATGATGTACTGAGAGAATATATTACAATAATGTTATAAATGAAGTATAACGTTTTTGTCACTTTTCAACAAAGTATTT